CGGACTACCGGACTGACAGCCTTCACTTCAGTGTTCTCTGATTTGATTACATTCTGTCAATACATATTATCCCAACAGAGTTGCATCACCATTGTTTCGACGCCATTGTATTTAAAGTTTTGAGAGCAAAAATTTGCTGAAATCGCAACTTTCTTGCAAATTGTTTAACCGTTCTTTTCTCATTAATTTTCATTGCAATACTCTTTGCTATACGAACGAGACAATGAATACTCACTATATATCAGCTTTTTATTATTAGTATAACCTTTTTTCGCCGCCCTATATTACTTCGTTCTAAGTTTTGATGTTTTTGAAGGTTTTATCTATCTCTTTTTATCTTCAGTCATGTCAATTGCATTCCGTGCACCAAATCTACAATTTATTGCACAGACGGCCATCATTCTATGGACAAAGGTCTGGTATTATAGCCTATCCAATGCTAACAATAATATCTATGCAGTTTCACATTTATTAAAGATGATGAGCTTTCTTACAAGGTTCCGAAAAGGAGTTTATAAGCAATAAACAAAAACGTTTAGGGTATTTAGGGTGTTGACATCCTCCAACTGAAACGGTTTCCTATTTAAAATAAGCTTCTATTTCTTGATCGGCTGCAGCTATTTGATTGTTTTGTTGATCCTAGGCTTTTCACATAGCAAAGAAGAGAAATTACTGGTTTTTGAATGTACCGCCAAAAGTGAAGCCCATCGCGTCTACAATCATTCTGTGCTAAGGTGATTCATGCATGTTACTGGCGAATTATGTATGATTAATTGAGTTGTATCAAACTTCTCCATCTTCTCAAAATCCTGAAAAACAAGAATGATGAGTAACTTGTTAAGCACCTGACTCAGGTTTAAAGCATTGATAAATGATGTGCAATTCTGCTTGAATAATTAAAATCTTTGCAAAGATGATCGACGGAACTTTTTTTTCATCCAAAGCTCCTATAAGAATCTTTGTCAGACAAGCAATTTAGATTATTATAGTCGATAGTTTTTAAAATATCCAACGCCCTTATGAGATTTCTGTCGAGTAACATTTCAATCTCTAAAAAAAACCTTTTGACGGCATCATCGACCACCATGAGGGCAAGCGTCATAGCCGCTGTTTGCTTGGTGTAAGCTGTCCGGTACTATTTCCTGATCGGAGAGACAGGCTCAGGATTTAACATTTCATGCGAGATCAAGGACAGATGGAAGTTTCAAGCTTTTTATGATGATAATATTTCGTTGTTTTTTGTTTCATCTTAATTGTCGAGTCGAATTTCTCCGATTGGACTCCTTCCAATTGTTAAAAAGGCTTTTCTTTTGTA